CACAGTGGGCTGGGCCCTCCCACATCACTCAACAATCAAGAAGATGCCCCTCAGACATGGCCACAGGCCAGTCCAATAGAGGCGATTCCCCAATTGAGGCTCCCTCAACCCAGGTGTGTCAAGTTGACACTAAAGCTATCCAGCACACTCTTCAACCTCTTAAAACAAGGTGGGGCTGTCACTGTTTTCCCAGATTTTAGACATTGTGTTATGAGGTATCTGTTGCTTTGTGTACCACCATGTTAATTCCTGTGTATTAATTTTCTTTAATCAGATCATCTTCATCACTACTGTTAATGGAAAGTCAGTGGGTTTCTGGTATGGCTTAAAGATAACTATCCAGTTGTGTACAATTATACAGGTAACATTGATTTTATTTTATAGCCAATAGTTTGCAAATCTTTAGATTTCCTTTGTTTGTGAATCAGAGGTAATAAAACTGGTCCCCATGGATTGCTAAAGTTCAAATAGATCATTTTTATGTTGCTTTATGAATGGGGAAACAGAGGCGTCAAGAAGTCAGTAACCTGCCCAAGGGAACACAGACATTCAAGGTATTTAAATACAAATTTTCAAATCCCAAGGACATTACACTTAACCTTGAACTGTCACTGTCATCTAGGTTAGCCTAAACCAGAAGTTCTCTTGTGTTTGTCTTTTGAATCCCCTTGAGAGTATGACAAAACCATGGATTCCATGAAAATGAACCCCTTGAACTCTCTGGAGTCTAAACTGCTGGTCTGGACATAGAGTGTAAGCAATAAAATATGTTGGAACACACATTTTTAAAAAATCTTGCCTTTGGGGCTGGAGAGGTGGCTCAGCGGTCAAGAGCACTGACTGTTGTTGCAAAGGACCTGGGTTCAATTCCTAGCACCCATATGGTGGCTAACAACTTCAGGGATCCATCACCCTCTTCTGATCTCCTCAGGCACTGCATGATACAGGTACACTTATTTGCATGCAGGCAATACATACTCATACACTTAAAATAAATAAATATTGGCCAGGTGTGGTGGCACATGCTTTTAATCCCAGCACTTAAGAGGCAGAGACAGGCAGATCTCTGTGAGTGCAAGGCCAGCCTGGTCTGCATAGCAAGTTTCAGGCCAGCTGGGGCTACAGGGAGACCCTATCTCAAGAAGACTGAAAATAAAATCTTGCCTTTGAGAGAGTTTCCTTTTGATGTGGAGTTGAGCCTTGGCAATTGCCAGTCGTTGTTCATGGTGGTGATTTGTCATGGCTTTTTCTGAGGTGGACAGAATCGCAGAATTCTGTTAATAGTGTTTGTATCAAGTTGTGGTTATATGAAAAAAAAGTGCCACAAGTTCAAAAACAACAAACTAAGTAACCCTCCCAACAACCCTTCTGTTCCTATTATTTGCTAGGTGAGTTTTCCCTAATAGTGGGAAGGGTTGGCTGCCTTGTTTGCAGGACAAACTTGCAAAATGTAGTGGCCTTTGTGTGTGACTCTTCCTTGGACCCAACGGTAAACCAAATATGTTTTCTTCATAGAATGAAAAGTGGTTTGAGGGGTTTGGGCTTTTGGGAACCAAAATTCTTTCCATTTTGACATTTGATTTCTGGACTTGTTACTGGGGAATACCCCTCTAAATTTGACTTCTGTTTTCTGAAATAGACTACCCTTATTCTGACAGAACAAAGGGGCGGGGCAGAAATGTAGTTTTCAAGATATCAACTTCATTGAGATGTAATTCACTATCTTACAGCACACTAATTTAAAGCATCTAATTCAGTGCAACCACCATCACCATCAGTTGTAAAACATTTTTGTAAGCACCAAAATAACCTGTTCTCATTACTAGTCATCTGCATTTCCTTCCAACCTCTGCAGCCCTAGCCAACCACTAATGTGTTTTCTGCCTCTCTAAATTTGCCTAGTATAGATATAAGAAGTACAGCTGTAACCATTTTTTCTAGGTGGCAATAATCAACTTTAGGTACTGAGTTCATGAACTGAGTTTCAGATGGGGCAACACTGAGCCAGTAAGCTGTTCTCCTTCACTAGAAGCAGGTTAAGTAAAGGCGAGGGCCCAAAGATGGTCTTGTTTCCTAAGGCCTGCAAAGCCTGGATGTGCATTGGTGTTTTCAGTCCCCAGGAAGGGTCTGGATTCACCATAGTTCTTGGTATTTTGATGGATGAGGAGGGAATAACTAAGGCAAGACTAAGAACCCAGCCCCTCCAGTCAGGTTGGGTTGGTGTGTACTAGTGAATGAAACCATTCTTTGTGGTTGCTCCTGCTGAGTGATATTTTTTCTTACTAAATGAAACGAGTGGATTTATGTTTCT